TTACCTGTTCTTAGCGGCGGCGGCTCTGTCGCGCTGCCGTCTATTCTTGAACCAGTTTCCGACTTGCGTGGGCGTGAGGCCGGTGGCGGAGGCCAGCTCCCGCTTTTTGCTCGGGTTCGGGTAAGGGTCCTGCAGATACCACTCCCGCAGGAGGGATCTCGTGCGCTCCTTGAAGCAGTGCGTCTTCTGCTCGCCGTCCCAGATGGTCCTCGGGAAGGGGAACTTCTTGCGGACGCGGTACTTGTCGACGGGGCCCAGGGGGCGGCCCCGCAGGCGCTCGGCCTCCTGGTAGTGCGCCTCCAGCCACAGCGCCTGCAGGCGGGCGTGCGACGGCTTCGAGAACCGCTGCGACTCCAGGATGGCGTACAGCTCTCTGAAGTTGCCCACGTGGAAGGCGACGAGCGCGCGCGCGCGCAGCACGGCCTCGTGCTTGTTGAGGTCGTGCAGGTGAGGGTGCGCCACCGGCAGCGACCACAGGAACCGCCCCAGGCGCTCCATGTCGCCGCTCTCCTCCAGGGTCTCGCAGACGGCGGCCACTTGGGCGGCGGTGAAGGAGAGGGAAGGCAGCGCGACCAGCGGCGTGGGCACCACGGGCCCGCCCGAACCACCTACGCTGCCGCCAGAGGAAGCACTAACATTCGCCGCAAGTCCGAGCACCATTGTGTCTCTCGCGCACTTAACTTGAGTTTCACCACTTTAAGATCTTTGCAGTTCACCGACACAATCACTAAGCAGTCGCTGCCGCAACCATACTCTACGCGCAGCAGAGTACGTCCTTGGGAGAGTGTTGTCGGCGTGTTGCTGTCGCGCCTCTCGCGGTAGTAATGGAGACTTGCGGTAGCAACGTGAGGAACTTTGACGAGGGGGCGGAGCTTAGCGCCTCACAGCTGTTCTACTTGGGACTTCGCGCTGATTGGCCCGTCGTCCCGGAGGTACTCCGCCTACTTATCCCGCCCCGCCGCTATTGGCCAGCAGTCCATCCCGCGGCCAATGGTGCGGATAGTGGGAGGAGCTTAGCCAGAAGTGAGGAAGACAGCCCTCGAGAGGCGGAGCCCAAGTGTCGCCACCGCTTCTCGCCTCAGCCAGCAACTGCCCACGGTCGCACTCCGGAATGCAAATAGCCGTGTATTGAGTTACAAAGTACATTGTTTTGTGGCCGGTGTTTGACATTTCAGCTGACATACTTCTCTCTAAATGAAGTGGCTCAGCTACGCGGCAGTGAGGAACTCGGCTACATAACTTCCGCTGATATTCGCCGTAGAACAATGTCGGGCCCAACATGTGTGCATGATTCTCGCTTAATAGAGTTAGCTTGACTGGGTTGGCTCCTGTATTTACCAACATCGCTCTGGCCTTTTGGGGTCTCTCGCGCCTTCGTTTTCTCTTTGCTTCTTGTCTTTTCTCTTCTCTTTTCTCGTCTCTTCTCTTCCCTTTTCTGTTTCGTGCTCTTCTCTTGTGTCTTTCTCTCGTTCTTATTCGTTCATGCTTGCCTCCTTCTCTTGGTTCTTTATTTCCCGATCTCTCTCTCTCTCTCTCTCCTCTCTCTCTCTCTCTCTCTCTCTCTTCTCTCTCTCTCTTCTCTCTCTCTCTCTCTCTCTTCTCTCTCTCTCTCTCTCTCTCTCTCTCTCTCTCTCTCTCTCTCTCTCTCTCTCTCTCTCTCATTTTTATACCCCTCGATTTCCTATCCTCTCCCCCATTTACCTATTCCTTCCTTCTCTATCTTTACTTTCGTCCCTTCCTTCTGCCTCCTCTTCTTCAGCCTTTTCGTTCCTCCTCTCTTTGTGCCTTTCTAATCCCTTATTGTTCTCTTCTCCTAATCTTCTCGAATATTACTTCCCTTTTCCACTTTCTCTTTTTCTCTTCTCCCCTCCCTTCTCTCTCTCTCTCTCTCTCTCTCTCTCTCTCTCTCTCTCTCTCTCTCTCTCTCTCTCTCTCTCTCTCTCTCTCTCTCTCTCTTTCTCTTTCTCTTTCTCTTTCTCGCTCTCGCTCTCGCTCTCGCTCTCTCTCACTCTCTCGCTCTTAGCCCCCTCTCTTTCTCTCTCTCTCTCTTTCTCTTTCATGTCCCTTTCGCTCTGTCCCCCCCTCCCCCCCTCCTCTCTCTCTCTCTCTCTCTCTCTCTCTCTCTCTCTCTCTCTCTCTCTCTCTCTCTCTCTCTCTCTCTCTCTCTCTCTCTCTCTCTCTCTCTCTCTCTCTCTCTCTCTCTCCTTCTCGCTCTCTCTCCTCTTCTCTCTCTCTCTTCTCTCTCTTCTCTCTCTCTCTCTCTCTCTCTCTCTCTCTCTCTCTCCTCTCTTCTCTCTCTCTCTCTCTCTTCTCTCTCTCTCTCTCTCTCTCTCTCTCTCTCTCTCTCTCTCTCTCTCTCTCTCTCTCTCTCTCTCTCTCTCTCTCTCGCTCTCGCTCTCGCTCTCGCTCTCGCTCTCCTGTCCTTCTCGCTCTCTGCTGACTTGTATTAATAACGGTGTTGATTTTTGTAACATTTTCAACTAAAGATTCCTTTACGTGTGATAATGTCGTGTGTATTGTGTTGTGTTCATGGTTATTGTATTATTGTGATGGTCAAGGGCTGAGTGGGTATTGTGCTTATGGTGATGTAGGCCTACTTATGGTGACCTATGGTGTTATAGAGTCCGCGCGTTGGCGATGGGAGTCCGATGTCGAAGAGGTGGAGTCCGACTATATATATTTTTTTAATGGTATGGTGAGGATGTTATGGTGATACCGACAATCGATAGGCACTATTTATATATATTTTTTTATTATCCGAAATAGTGACATTCTCAAATTGCATCTTCACCATAAGTACCATTTTTCTTTCTCCAACAATTCTCCCTATCGATGCCATGACAGCAGTGAAATCATGGTACGTCTCAATACAAGATTTTTTTTTTTTTTTTTTTTTTATGTAACAGATCGGATAAAATACAATTTAATCCGTGTATTTTATGATGTCGGTTTAAAGACCGGATTTAGGAAATATAGGCCACTATAAGAAAAAAAAGAGAGAAGTGAAGAAAAAAGAGGAGAATAAAAAGGAAGATAGAAAGAAAGGGGAATAGAAATAAGAGAGAAAAAGAATTGGCGTGCTTGGAAATGATTAAGAACGTTCTTGAGTATAGAATAAGACCTTGTAAATATTCCATAATATATTCATTTCTTCCCTCGTCGATTTTTTTCTTTCTCCTTCTCTCTCTCTCTCTCTCTCTCTCTCTCTCTCTCTCTCTCTCTCTATCTATCTATCTATCTATCTCTCCCTCTCTCTCTCTCTATATATATCCCTCTCTCTCTCTCTCTCTCTCTCATTCTCTCTCTCTCTCTCTCTCTCTCTCTCTCTCTCTCTCTCTCTCTCTCTCTCTCTCTCTCTCTCTCTCTCTCTCTCTCTCTCTCTCTCTCTCTCTCTCTCTCTCTCTCTCTCTCTTTCTCTCTCTCTCTCTCTCTCACTCACTCCTTTTCTTTCTTTTTTTATCGAAATTCGACTCCCACCCACACCTGTAATACGCGAATAATTTCCACTTTTCCTTTATCAATCAGAATTTCCTCGCGTGTTTTCCGTCGCCGAACCAAAGTACGACAAGTTCCATATCTCCCAAGGCATCTCGGGAGACGAATGACGTCACCAAGAGACAAGAGACGGTCGCATTGCGCGTTGGGTGTGTGTGTTGTGTGTTTGTGTGTCAGAGATGCTGTGTGTGTGGCTGTGTGTGTAGTAGTTACATATATTGTAACGATATAAATCGTGTGTATGAAAAATTGTACATCCATCACCTTGCTTATATTCTAACTTAGGAGTTGGAAATTTATGAATCAATTTTCACCGAGAGCCCGACAAGGTGTGTATGAAATTCGGGCAGCTTTCCAAAACTAGCAGTTCGTCCCCCTATCGAGGGATATGGTAACATTCATATATCAAATACAAAATAAATATGATACATACAGTTATACAACCTAATATATACTAGGATATAAATGATAGTCATTATATATAGTATATCTAACAAATATATATAATATATAATTATAGTATAATATTATATGTGATGAGCATGTATGGTAATGTATATGCTATGTTGTATAGTTAGTATGTGAGCTGTGATGTGTGAGTCGTGTTGCTGTAAGAAACATACGGCGATGGAGCCTCATAACCCAGATAATTAAAACAAGGTTATAGGAAGAGACGTACGTTAAGAACACTCACGCCGTTGTGAGAAAGGATAAACTATAATGTGAATAATATCAATACGATAATAGGAGAAAACAGTGACAAAAAAGGGTGGACGGCAAAACGAATTCAAGAAAGCGAAAAACGTTAAGTAATATTTCCAATCTACCAAGCAATCCTGTTTCTATGCTTTCAGTGCGTTGCGTCGTAGACCAGATTCCCTTATTGAGTTGTCCTCCTATTTCTCTTTCAACATCGGTATACCAAACCTTTCGCCTGCTGGGTGCTGTGCAAAAGAATGGGCTTCGGTAAGCATTGCGGCGGTGCGGGGATCCGAAACCTCTTTACCTGCCCCTTCTCCCCTCCTTGCACCCCCTAGCCCCCATTCACATGTAAATTTTCTCTCCCTGATTATTTCTCCACTTACACCCTATCTCTTCACGCTTCTTCTCGCCATTGGTTTTATCTCAATCTCCTTGTGACCTTTGTGTTGTGGCCGAGCACGTACGACACTGCTCTCTCATATCCTTTTTCCCTTTGGCCCTTCTTCTATTTCTCCTATTCCAGGCCATTTATCACCATAATTCTTCTTCTACCCGTCGCATCTCTGGTCCTTTGCACTTCTCCTTCACTTGCCTCCTTCTCTTACCTCCCCTTCAATACTGCTCTTTTTCCTCTTTACACCTTACTCTCCTTCTTCACTATACTGTATTCTTTCTCTTCAATACCCCTCCACTTCTTCATCCAATACTCCTCCTCACTCCTTTTCTTCCCCTCTCCCCGCCATCTATCCTCCCCACCTTCCCCTCCTTCTTCTTCCTCACAAACTCCTCATCCCTACCCACTCCCATCCAATTTCCACCATCCTCTGTATCCTCGTCCTGGGGTCGAAAACAAACAACTCGCGCTATACGAGGAAAAATGAGTGGCAGGTGTATTGGTGGAGAGAATTGCTAAAAAGGGTTTGTTTGTTGGAGGAACAGGAAGGGGTTAGGCGAAGTGGTGTTTGTGTGGTCGATGTGCAGCGAGATAATACACAGGACGCTTGCATCCGCTCTCTCCCCCAGGCTGAGCAAAGAAATCGCGTGGTACGCGCACTCTCCCCTCTCGAAAGCAAAGACCCTTCGCAGCTCCCCCCACTCTCCTGGCGGATATTACGGCAGCCTAGACTGCACGAAGAGACAGTGAACAGTTACATGTAAGTTTTGGAGGTGTCACTTGCTCGGTTATGCTGGCGCGCGCCGTAGGATCAAAAGGGATTCTTCGCGCCTCAGAGCTCTCCAGGGGAGACAGGGTGATGGGAACGTTTCAAAGGATGCTTATTCTTTCTCGGTATTCAGGGCACCATGCGAGGCATATTTTTTTTCTATTCTTATTTTTTTTAGACGAGCAGATCCGCAGATTACACGAAGGGGTGCCGAACACCACGCTGGAACACCGACGGGTGGGTGGTGGTTGGGGTTATGGGCGGAGGGAGTAGGGGAAGGCAATCGAGGATAAGGGGTCGCTGACGGGCGGTCATTGTCGAGAGGAAGGTCGATTCCGCCTGAGATGAAGAGAGGTGGTCAATGTCACAGCTCAGCCACACAACACATACCACTATCCACACACACAGCATCTACTCCGTACCTCCACCCACACACATCGGAT